ATATTACAACTGGAGGAGCCCTTAGAAACCATCGAATCTAGACCTTTAATTTCACAAGGGATGAAGCCGAAGTATAAGTAAGTGAAGCGATTTGCCTAATGTCACTTAGTCAATACTCAGTAAATATTTGTTGAACGGAAGAAGATTATTTCTAAAGAATTTAATTTCTGAAGATCTTGAACAAAGACTAGTGTCTAAACCTTTGAGGTCAGAGTATCTTGGATTTTGGCTGAGAGATTAGAAATGGATTTGATAACAAATTAGAGTATTACTAATATCCCGGCATTGTCTCCTCTTCGTTGCGGGTTTTTGCGCGAGTGAGGAACATGGCAGCGTCAGCCAACGTGGTCCCGGGCCTTCCAGTGGAATCTCCCATGATGGACAGTTAGAAACAGGCAAAACAGATGCTTGCTGCTGACCTAAAAGACACCAATTCAGTGTGGAAGCTGTTGATCTCAACTGTTTAAACCTCAGCACCGTTCCCAATCTGGCACAGAATTAATCCCTTAAGAAAGGGATGAAAAAAATGCCATTCAGCACAACATAGTTTGTCATCGCATGCATAATGCAGACTTTCCAGTTAGAATGCTACAATTTGGAAACTTTCTTCACAGACTGATGAGAGAGCAATTATTTTAAAGAAGGGAAAACTCAGTCCACTGGGTTTGCCTCAAGTCACTTCTGACTCAAGCCGCAAAGACAAGAGTTTTGAAAACATATTCACTATTGAATTTTGTATCAAAACACCAGCAAGGAGGCAATTAGTTGCTGTAAACTGAACCCCGGTAATCAATGGTATGCAGCCAGCCAGAGCATTTATAGAAGATGTAAGCAAAATCACATCTGCTAATCAATTTAAAAAAGCCCAGCACTTCACTGCTTTTAAGGGAAACTCCACAATGAGACTGAGGGAAGATGGAGGAGACAACGTTTAATATCACCAGGCGTTTCATGCGGTGCTCATTAGGGAGAGGGGTTTGTGGCAACAGCTAAGTACAGACCTGATCTGCATCAATAGATCCTGGCCAGTGGCTTGCTTTATCCAGCCCCTTCTGGAAATGGCTTCTGATGTCCGGGTGGAGGTGTGTTAGATGTAGGGGCATATGTTTAAGGAGCGCCTCTCCAATAAGGTCAGAGGGAGTGTGTCTGTCCTGAGGGAGCTCCCTGAGCAAACATTCCTCAGCAGATTACAAATCAGAAGTACCTCTGTTGTTGTAGGTACACAGACATGGGAACAGACTGCTGGCAAGGGTTAGTGAGGGAGTTGGTGGGTTTTTCAGTTGTGCCTTATTTGAACAGAATTCCTCTCCATGGAAAAAAAGAGAGTGAGCCAGTTTTTCCTTTAGTGTCCTTAGACTCTGCATGCTTTTCTTCAGTTGAATCAACAAAGGGATTTTCATTCCTGGCTAAGCCTAAATTCCAAGCAAATATTCATCCAGGCACATGAATTAGAATCTTTCTTAAAAACTCCAAAGTGTAGGTGGCTTGATCACCTGAGATCCATCAGTGTCCCTGTTCCACTCAGGAGTCACCATGACCCCACATTTCCAGCCCCCAGGGACTCTTAATAGAGGAATAGAAAGGCGATGTCTCAACCACTGTGTGCGTTTGGCTGCTGGTCAGAGAAAAGAATTTAGGCCAGGAGAAAGTATTGAAGTAAAGATCGATAGACTGAGCTAATAAAAATTAATATCTTCAGCGTGCAAACTATGACAGGCAGTAGATTAATATCCTTCAAATATAGAGGGTATCTTATAAGTCATTAACAAAAGGATAAATATAAGTAGAAAATGGGTAAAGTGTTCAAGTTCAATGGTAAGTAAAAAGCTGCAAATTAAAGTAATGAAATAGATTTCATCTATCAAATTGGCAGTATTTTTAAACATAATACACAATATCGGCAATGACGCACAGAAGCAGGCATTTGTTATACATGGCTGGTAATGTGAGTATAAACTAGTACAGACTTCTGTTTGGGGGTTGGGGGAGAAGTGTGTAGCCTTTTGTAATACATATCAAGGCCTCACCTACTCTGCCCCAGGAGTTTCACTTACAGAAAGTTTCATAGGCAGTGGTCATAGATTTAGCATAAGAACGTTTCATCACAGAGTTTTCCTAGCAATGTAATATTACCAACTACCTAACTGTCCAATAATAAGAGACTGATTAAATAAATCGTAGGACATCCATAAGGTGAAATTCTGTGAAGCCAGTACATATGATGAGAAAGCAAATTTGATAGATACAAAAGAAAGGTGTTCATAATAAATCATTAAGCGAAAGAAACAAGTTCCAAATAATTTGCACCGTCTGTATGTGTTTACAGAATTACTAGAATTACAGGTGATCTTCATTTTAAAATAAAAATCTGTCTTGAAACAAGTTGGAGGACTTTATAGAAAAAGCTGCTAAGAGACAAAATATGCACTACTTCAAAAATTCTTTTAATATCCTCTCACTCCAGGAATTTCTACTAGAGCATTTGTGATACTTACTTATAATTGGTCTTCCTTTTTATCTTCTTCATATCCCATCTCCTCAGGGCAGTCTTTTTCCATGAAATATTTTGAGATCTGGTTAGATTCAATCTCAAAAGGGCCAGATTATTTTCCTTTGGATACACTGGTAGAAACACTAATTCATGATTATCCAGAAGGATAGGGATTATGATAAACCTGGCTCTCCACAAATAATCCAAAATCCCATTGGGGAGATAGCCTCAGCATTGTTTCCCAAAAAGCCTGTCATACCAGGGTTGTTAAGTAAAGAGACTGATTAATTAATTTGAAGATTTTTTTTCTTGTTTTTAATCTACTCTGGCAGAGTTGTAAGTTATTTCAGTCCAGAACATGTATGGAACATACACTATGAACAGAATCCTTATGTTTGGAGTAGAATTTTTTTTTAATGAGAAGATCAACAGTCTTTCTATAATTTTTATAAGAGCTAGACAAACATAGAAACAAAAATTACACTTCTAAAAGTTACTCAACGTAAATGTAAATTAACAGGCTAACTGCATAAAAGTGCTAAGAAACTAGAATATTCAAGGAAATGACTAATGAGGGAAATGATTCACTTTCTTATCAGGCAAGCTGGTATAATCTGAGAGCAGAATTATTGGACACCTAAAAACAATAGGGTGGGACCCTGTCTGATTCATTCAGAATACTTTGAGAGATTAAATACCCAGGCGAATTGAGGGGAATACTCGGGTGAATCAAGGTGGAATGTGTATCTGCTTTACTTAAAAGATGAATTCCAAAATATTAGGGAGTGTGGGTTTTGTCATTGATAGCAAACGAAATTACACTTGAAAACAAGGAACCAAAAGGTAAGGGGAACACAGTGTCATTTCTAATCCCCAGTAACAGCGTTATTGGTGACACTAAACTGAGCTTGTGCAAAGGGTTTTTATTGATGATCATTGCAAGATCAAGGGCAAATAATATGAACTACTTTTGTAGAGTGATAGTTTGTGGATTGTAAATTGGGACCCAGGTCCATAAATGGGGAGTAAAGGAAGCACTCAGCAAAGGCTTTGGCCAGGACACCAGGTTCGAACCCTGTATCTGCCAGCACTGTTTGAGCATAGACATGTTACTTAACAGCTGTAAGCCTTACTCTCACCATCTGCAATTTGATGGGAATAATAATGCTTGCTAAGGGGATTTTGGAAGCCCTTAATAAGATAAATTATATAGAGTACCTAACGTAGGGCCTGGTACACAGTAGAAGCATTAAAGAAATGTTGGCCACTATGATAGTAATAATCATCATTATCACGTTGTTACAAATAAATATTCATTGAGTGTAGACTCGGTGAGACACCATGCTGAGTACATGGGTATAGAAGGATCAATAAGACATAGGCACTGCCTTCAGGGAGGTCACTATCTGTTCTGGCCATTGGAGGAAGCAAATGTGCGTGACCAAATGTAAAACAATAGATAGATATTCTGTATGGGAAGGACTTTTGAGGCTGAAATCATAATTATTTGTTTGTTTTTTCTTTTTGAGGCTGAATCAGAAAACAATGGCCTCTCATTCTCTCATTTCCTGCCACTGTGGCACTTTCAGAAGCAAAATGCTGGACTGTTGTCTAATCCCATATTACAATACTTAGATTCTTTTCTCTTATTCTTTTTTTTTTTTTAATTGAGGAGTAACACACATACAGGGCACAAATCAACTGGATATTTACTGTGTGCATACCCATGAACTACCACTTGGTCAGAATCAGCACCCTTCCAGCATCCTGGAAGGTTCCCTCATCCCCTTTTGCAAGCATTACCTCTCTCAGAGGTAACCACTGTTCTGATTCCTGCCACCAGCGATGAATTTTGTCTCTTTTGAGCTTCATGTAAATGGAATCACATAGTCAATGCTCAGGTTCTTATCTGAGCTAAAAAGGAGATATGAGGAACAGAACCCAAATAATCAATCTCTAAATAATAAAGTTTTACTAACGAATAGATGTTTGTTTGTATCTCCAAATCAGATCATTGTACCACAGCTATGCAAGAAGTCTGCTAAGAATGAGAGGGAATCTAAAACATGATCATTGAGGTCATTGGGGCATACTAGTTATTATCAGTCAAGAAGCACAGATTTCCCCCATGAACGCTAGTCTCAAGCATATTACCTTTGGTCAGCCCAGGCAACTGGAGATCAATCAGGAGGGAGGATCTGGGGACATCTTCTCATGGATAAGCCAACCTGAAGAGCATCGCCACTCAGGGGACAAGGGCTGCCTGAGATCGGGTGACTGGTGAAAGAAGTTCCTAAAGAGACATGGCTCTCATTACACACTGACTCCACCTCCTGTCACCAGACTTTTGCCGGGGATTCACTTCCTTTCTCCAGCCCTGGAAGCGTTGGGGGGCGGGGAAGGAGGCAGGAAGGAGGGGTAAAGCAGACATGGATTCCCTTAGGCCTACAGCCTCAGGAAGCAGCCAGTTAGAACATTCAAAGCATTCTTACATACTTTCCTTGTTCAGGTTACTACTTTGGGACTGCGACGACCGAAGCTACAGCTACTACGTTGAGGTCTCCACCAACCAGCAACAGTGGACCATGGTGGCTGACAGAACTAAAGTCTCCTGCAAGTAAGTTAAGTCTTTTCACAGAATTGTTTCCAATTTAAAAGACAGTCTTTCCGATGGATTCAGAAGGTTCTAATGAAGATTCATGGCATCACCAAATTAGATTCTTAGGTGGAGGTTGAAAACATACTGATGATCCTTTACTTCAGTTTTGACTATTAAGTACTTTGATGAGAATTTATTTTTTTTATGTGATCAAACAAGCTTTCCTTGTTTGGTGGTTTGAACTTGACTCTTGGAAATGACATGTCCCCGAGCAAAGAAAAGAAGGATTTCCATTGGTAATCGTCTCTTGGGTCCCCACCCCCGATACCACACACTACCGCTTTAGAACTGTTTTCTTCCTTACAGAATTTTGCCGATGCAATACACACTTTAGTACTTATTCTGGGACTCTGTTCCCCACCCTCATATCATTCCCAGGGTTACCTTTAAATATTTCTCTCATCTCAGTGCCAGCTACACTGTTACCTAAATGAAAGAAAGCTTGATATCCTAGGCCCCTAGTCATTTAATGCATATGGCTTTGGGGCTCCGTTTGCATTTACGTTGTTGTGGGGGGAAGCTAAGAGGAAGGATCCTGTGGGTTCTGAACGGCCTGAGATCATGACTACATGTGTATATACCCATATAACTCACTCCGATCAAAATTAGCACATTCCCAGCATCCTAGAATCATACCTTTTCTCAGTCATTACCTAAAAAGAGCTCAGTGCCTTTTTGGGTAGAGCCAGATTCTCTGGGAGGAAAGATAAAGCAAATAGCTGAGATTTCTTTCTTCTTTCTCTTTCTTTCTTTCTTTCTTTCTTTCTTTCTTTCTTTCTTTCTTTCTTTCTCTCTTTTTTTCTCTTTCTTTCTTTCTTTCTTTCCTTTTCTTTCTTTCTTTCTTCTTAAGATTTTATTTATTTATTTGAGAGAGAAAAACAGAGAGAAAGAGAGCACAAGTGGGGCAGGGGCCTGCAGAGGGAGAGGAAGAAGCAGACTCCCCACTGAGCAGGGAACCTGATGCGGGGCTCGAGCCCAGGGCCCCGGGATCATGACCTGAGCCCAAGGTAGACGCTTAACCGAGTGAGCCACCCAGGTGCCCGAAGATTTCTCTTTTTTTATTATTGAAATATGATTCATATACCATATAATTCCCCCTTTTAAATGTACAATCCGGTGGTTTTTAGTGTATTCACAGAGTTGGGCAATCATCCCTACTATCTAATGTTTCAAACATTTTCATCAGCCCCAAAAGGAAACCTCCTACCCATTAGCAGTCTTTCCATTTCCTTCCGGTTCCCACAGCCCCTCACCCCTGGTTATCTCCCTTCTGTTTCTATGGATTTGCATATTCCGGACATTTCCTATACACAGAATCGTATAGTATGTGATCTTTTCTTCTGGCTTTTTTTCACTTAACATATACTTTTGTCAAGCTTCATTCATGTTGCAGCATGTATCAGCACTTCATTCCTTTTTATGGCTGAATAATATTCTATCCTATGGAAAATATACATGTCACATTTTGTTTATCCATTCATCATTGGATGAACATTGGAACTGTTTGCACTTTTGGCTAAAATGAGCATTTCTGCTATCAACATTCCCATGCAAGTCTTTGTATGAGCATATGTTTTCAGTCCTCTTGAGTATATTCCTGGGAGTAGAATTGCCCGGTCTTATGGTAACTTTGTGTTTAAGTTTTTGAGGAACTGCCAGACTTTTCCACAGCAGCTGCACCATTTTGCATTCCCACCAGCAATGCAGGAGGGTTTCTTGCCAGTACTTGTTACTGTCTATCTCCTTGTTCACAGCCATCCTAGTGGGAGTGAAGTGGTGGTTTCGGTTTGCATTTTCCTCAAGGCAAATGATGTCAAACATCTTTTTGTGGACTTACTTGGCCAAGATTTCATAACAGCATTAATGATGACTTGTTTGATGCAATGTCTGACACCCTTACCATCGTTATGATAGTAATCAGCATAGAGCACGTTTAATGCTTCCATTGGTTAAGGTGACACTTGCTAGATTCAGATCCCACAGGATCCTTCCTCTTAGCTTTCCCCCACAACAATGTAAATGCAAATGGAGCCCCAAAGCCATATGCATTAAATGACTAGAGGCCTAGGATACCAAGCTTTCTTTCGTTTAGGTAACAGTGTAGCTGGCACTGAGATGAGAGAAATATTTAAAGGTAACCCTGGGAACAGGGTTACACAGAAAGTGGCCTCAACATTCCAGTGCCTTAACACAGTAGTTTATTTCTCAGTCACGTAGCAGGGAGTATGGGTGTTCCTGGTTCCACAGGTGACTGAGGAACCTAGGCATCTTCCTTCTGGTGGCTCTGCCATCATCTGGGACCTCATCAGCATCATCTGCATCTAGCTGGCAATTGGGGAAAGAACAGAGAAAAGGTATACCTGGTTCTTCTGAACAGCCTTGGCCTGGATGTAGTGACTGTCCCTTCCACTGGCACGTGATTGAGGAGAAGCAGTCATTTACCACACTAGATGCTGGTAGGGCTGGAAACCATAGTTCTGGCTGGGCAGCCACTTCTCAGCGGAGCACACATCTCGTAGCCGTCTCTGCCGTTGGATAAGAAAACTAACAGTTATTGAGTAACTCGTATTCTGTGACTTTGCTGTGTTTTGTCTCATTTTGTCCTGAACATAAAACACCTTGTGGAATATTGTCCTCATTTTATAAAAGAGAAAATGGAGGACTCTTTCCATTGTACCACGAAGCCTTACTAAAGAGGGCTAAGCCCAGCTAAATGAAATGGAAACAGGGAAATGAAATGATTAGCTCATTTCCAAGTGCCTAGAACCCTTTTTATACAACAGGAAGGCCTTCCAGGCCCATGAACAACTGCCCATTTATCTTTTCAGAGCCATTGCTCACTGAGTATACAGCTCACAGGCCAGACCCTCTGCTTCCCCATCTTTTCCACATCTCACTGGTTACCATCAGCCATCTTGTCTGTCATTTTATGTGTTATAAATTAGATGCCTCATCTCTTTATGTTCCCCTACTGAAGGTGTGGTGTACAGTATGGGTTTTTAACAAGAACCAGTTGGCTAACTACTGACCCAGGTATATATCATAATGGTTTTATAGTTATTTAAATGGTTTTTTCTTGGGTGCCTGGGTGGCTCAGTCATTAAGCGTCTGCCTTCGGCTCAGGTCATGATCCCAGGGTCCTGGGATCGAGTCCCACATCGGGCTCCCTCCTCGGCGGGAAGCCTGCTTCTCCCTCTCCCTCTACTGTTCCCTGTGCTTGTGCTCTCTCACTTTGTCTGTCAAATAAATAAATAAAATCTTTAAAAAAAATAAATAAACGGTTTTTTCTTGATTCAAAAATGCATTCACTCATTAGATCCCTCCCAGTAGCTTTTTTTTTTTTTTAATTTATCTATTTATTTATTTGAGAAACAGAGCAAGGAGCGAGAGAACACAATCAGGGGAAGCAGCAGAGGCAGAGGGAGGAGCAGACTCCCCACTGAGCAGGGAGCCTGACACTGGGCTTGATCCCAGGATCCTGAGATCATGACCTAAGCCAAAGGCAGACACTTAACCAACTGAGCCACCCAGGCGCCACCCCCACCCACCAGTAGCTTTGTATTGAGTCATCAACATCTTCCCCCCCACTTCTTTTTGTATTTTGTTTCCATTAGTTGGTGGATTTAAATAATTTATATGTTTTTAACCTTCTGCGTTAGCACTTATATGCTACAGCAATACGTGTTTTTACAAATTAATAAATAAATAATATATTATAAGAACAAGAATAGTAGCAAGAAGGCAAGTACCTTTTAACCCCCTAAGAATCAATGGAACTTAAGGTTATGACTTTATGTTTGGAGGCATAACCTGTATCTTTTGTGCCTTTCATTTTTGAGTTAGGTGTTAAGAAATATAGTAGAAGATACGCAGACAATAAAAGAGGAAAGCCTTCCCTTTTTAACTAATATACTCCAGAGCAGTCCTCAAGAGAGGATTCTATTAGCTTCAAAAATTGTAGCCTCCCTTTTTGAAATAAAGTATGTGAGTCATGTTATAAATGAAATTCTATAGGATCTTTAGAGATCGCAGCCGTGCCTCTTGATAGCATTCTACCTAGTCAAGAAATCAAAGGACAGATTTTTGCTGTCCTCTGAAAAATAACTAGGAAATGAGATTCCCCAGTGTCTCCTCGTAAGACCCTCTACTCCTGGAGCAGGATATTTTCCTTTATTGCTATGCTAAGTCCTTTCTGCTACAGTTGGAGCTTAGCTTGTTTTACTCTCAGGATAAAGGCTTATTTTCTATTACAGATAACCATATTTTTGTATACACTGATTTGAGGTTTTTCCAAATTATTCAAAAATTATTCAGCTTATTCAAAAATAACTGATACATAACATTGTGTAAGTCTAAGGTGTACAGTATAATGATACATATAGCAAAGTGATGGCCACAGTAAGTTAGTTAACACATCTGTCACCTCACAGTTTTCTTTCTTGCAATGAGAACCCTTAAGATCTACTCTCTTAGCAACTTTCATATATGCATTTACAAAGTAGTCACCATGTTGTACATTCCATCCCCAGACCTTATTGATCTTGTAACTGGAAGTTTGTGCTTTTTGATCCTCTTCACCCATCCCCCCGCAACCCTCTGGGAACCTCCGAACTTTTCTGTTGCCATAAGTTCGTTTTTTTTTTTTTTTTAGGATTACATGTTTAAGTAAGATCATACAGTATTTCTCTTTCTCTGTGTGACTTTTCACTTAGCATAATGCCCTTGCCATTTATCCACGTTGTTGCAAATGCACTAACTGATTTTATAAAATTACTTTTTACCCCTCTTTTTTCACATCATCTAATCCTATACCCTTTAGCCTTATTCCAAAAGACTTCACCTTCCAATCTTTGATTCCTTTACTGTCTCCTAAATTGTTGAACCCTAAATCTGTGTCAATACGGTAAGAAACCAACATCGGCTTTTTTTATTATAAATGTAAAACATGCATGGAAAAG